CTCAGGGCTTGGGTGCTGTCCCTGCGCATTTTTTTTTTTTGCTCAGGCAAGCACTCTGCCTTTGAGAAAGACAGCAGAATTCTGGTGCATGCCTGATCTAACACAGCAGATGCTTGCATCACGGCAGAAGGGGCCTTGGGGAGTCTCACTAGGGTCCACAGTGAAGGTAGTATGCAAGTGACATCTCTTGTAGAAATAAATGAAGATCACGCAAATGAAAACAAATAAAACTTGTCTAAGAGCTTGTTATTTAACAAGCAATTCTCTTAACACAAATGATAGCAGAGACTTGAAGGCCAGCAGGGAAGTAAGAAAGCTTTATAATTTAAAAAATGGCAATGTTTCAGGTAGACTCTGGTTGCATCTGGGTCTAGAGACACTGGGGGGCTCACTAGAAGCAGGGCACTTCATGATTTGAAGAGATTCTCTGATTTCCTCTGATAGAGATTGTGTTGAAAAGAGGGGGCAAATGTCTAGGCAGGCTGACTGAGTGAGTGATCAAGTCCTAATGTGCTGTGCCATTTGATTCCAAGGTTGTGGTCTGGCATCCTACATTGGTTATTACTGAGGTTATAGGTTAGCTTCCTGATCTGATTGGTACAGAGTTATAGGTCAGAGTTCTATCACCAATGTGCATTTGCATTTGTATATTCAACCTCTCACAGTGAGATTTTGGCATTGTTAACATTAAAAGCAGCTACCTGATGGACCATTTTTTTTCCAACTATTGAACCCACGGTCATCCAATGATACTATTTGTTTGCACAACTCTTTAGACTAATAATTTAATAACTTTTTTGTCAGTCGTGGTGCTTGAACTCTGGGCCCAGGCACTGTCCCTAAGCTCTTAAGCTCAGGCTAGTACTCTACCACTTGAGCCACAGCACCACTTCCGGTTTTCTGATGGTTTATTGGAGATAAGAGTCTCACAGACTCTCCTGCCCAGGCTGGCTTTGAACCATGATCCTCAGATCTCAGCTTCCTGAGTAGCTAGGTTTACATGCATGAGCCACTGGCTCCTGGCACAGACTAACATACTTTTAAATATATTCTTCCCTCTGTTTTTTTTTTTTGTTGTTGTTGGTGGTGGTGGTGGTTGTGGGGCCTGAACTCTGGGTGCTGTCCTTCAGCTCTTCAGCTCAAGGCTTGCACTCTAACACTTGAGCCATAACATGACTTCCAGCTTTTTCTGCTTATGTGGTACTAAGGAATTGAACCCAGGGCCTCATGCATGCAAGGCAAGCATTCTACCACTGAGCCACCTTTCCAGTCCCATTCTTCCCTCTTTTATATTTACAACAACTGTATGATTCTGAGATGTTAATTATCTAAGGTCTCTCAATGGCTTTGAGTTAGAATCAAAATCAGAACAATAATACAGAATTATCTGAAATACATAACTCAAATTTTATGGTACAAGCCAGGTGCTGGTCATTCACTCCTGTATCCTTACTACTTGGAGGCTATGAGCAGAAGGATTACTACTTGAGGCCAACTCAGGAAGAAAAATTTGTGAGACCCCCTTGTTAACAAGAGCTCAACACAGTGCCATGTACCTTTTATCCTAGCTACAACAAGAAGCTTAGCATATATGTGCCTGGACAAGAAGAAAACAGGCAAAATCAGCTGGTTCAGTGGTAAGAGCATCTGTCTAACAAGTATGAGGCCTAGAGTTCAAACCTTGATGCAGCTTTAAAAAGAAAAAATTATAGACATCATCTATAATGGCTCGAAAATAAATATATTACTCTTTGTGAATACTAAATTTTGTTGATACTAAATCATAGGTTGATAAAGGATCTGTTCCAATTAAACCTCATGGTTAAGGATAAAACCTTGGAAGAAAGATCATAGTTCCTTTCAAATAGCTATGAGGCTGTCATGTGGAAGATGGATTAGGTATATTCCTATGATTTCAGAGGTCTGAGCTAGTACAAGTGAATAGAAGAGAGGCAGATTTCAGCTAAGCCCGTGAAGTATGTTTCTAATGATGAGATTCTTGTCTCCAAAAGAATGCGTTGCCCTATAAAAGAAGCAGTTGGTCAGGTCTCATCATGCTTAAGTAGAATTTTATGTTCCTATATCTCTGGAGACCGCTTGAACAGGCTGTCCCAGCTTAACCTCCGAGGGCTTCATAAGTTTCAAGTTCACAAAATTTTGCTAAACTTTGAAAAGAGGCATAGATATTCACAATATACAGTTTAAATGCATTCAAATTCTAGATGAAGTTAATATGTTCTGTACGTCTCTCAAAACATTGAGCTCTATTGAAGACTTTTTTGAATTATTATTTTTACACACATGTTTATATCTTTTCTTTTTCTGATATTTTTATTGTCTCTAAGTAGTTGTACCTAACAGTTTCATGTCAACATATGAATTTATGAGTGCAATGTATTGGGATCAATGTTGCACCTTCCATCCTTCTCCCCATCTTTGCCAACCCCATCCATACCCTCAAGTTACATGGTTCCATTTTCACACATGTATATTGAATATAATTTTTACATTTACCCAACATATTCGTGTGGGCTCAAGAATTATTTTTATTATCTTTAAGTAGTTCTAGAACATATCAAAATGTAAATTATCCTAATAAGGAATAGTCTAAATCAGAGAAAAATGTTATACCAAAGGTATTCTCTTTTTGATATTTTGATGAGCTATAGAAATTCAATGAGATAAACCAACACTCTCCCACCATTAAATGGCAAGTAGTCAGATTTTAAGCTGTAATCTTATACCTTTTTTTTTTTTTTTTTGTCAGTCGTGGGCCTGAACTCTGGGCCTGGGCGCTGTCCCTGAGCTCTTCAGCTCAAGGCTAGCACTCTACCACTTGAGCCACCGCCCCGCTTCTGGCTTTTTCTGCTTATGTGGTACTGAGGATTCGAACCCAGGGCCTCAAGCATGCAAGGCAAGCACTCTACCACTGAGCCATCATCCCAGCCCCTGTAATCTTATATCTTTGAATGTGATCTTTTTCCTCTTTATGGCTCCTTTACTAGCATCGCTTCAAGTTAGCAATTCTTTTCTCCTCAGCAAAAAACTTGAATCTTAAGTAAAACATTGTCCCTTCCGGGCTATTCTGTAAGGATGACCTATGGCATCTTCTTGCTATAGAGATCCTCTCCTCACAGTCCTTACTTGCCTCTGTGAGCCTTTAAGTCTGATCTTCTCACTTAAAAAATAATTTATTGATATTATTAAGGCATTGTACAGAGGGGCTACCATTTCTTAAGCCAGGTAATGAGTACATTCCTTTTTTTCCTTTTCTGCTTTTTTCTTTCTTTCTTTCTTTCTTTTTTTTGGACAATGTCACCCAAAGTCGGATCCTCTAATTTTTGCCAGAAAGCTATTTCTGTTTTTATAATGAGATGTAGTGGCTGTCTTAAAAAAAAAAAATTAGAAGCTGGGTGCCAGTGTTGCCAGTAATCCTCACTACTCAGGTTGAGACCCAGAATATCTCAGTTCAAAGCCAGTCAGACAAGTCCAAGAGACTCTTATCTCCAATTAGCAAGCAAAATACTGACCTGGAAGTGTGGCTCAAGTGGTAAAGCACCAGCTGTGATTGAAAAGTATAGTGAGAGCGCAACCCCTTAGTTTAAGCACTAGAACATGCACAAAAGGAGAGAGAGAGAGAGAGAGAGAGAGAACAGCAACTTGGATCATGGAGTGGAAGTACACATTTGTAATATCCCAGCAGTACAACAAGAGGATCAGCAACAAAGTCAACGCCAGAGTGGGGCTACAACACAATGATTTTATTTTATTTTATTTTTGAATCTTAAGAATTCTCCTAGAGGAGTGGGAATGTGGCTTAGTGTTAGAGTGCTTGCTTTAGCATGCATGAAGCCCTGGGTTCGATTACTCAGTACTACATAAACAGAAAAGACCGGAAATGGTGCTGTGGGTCAAGTGGTAGAGTGCTAGCCTTGAGCAAAAGAAACTTAGGGACAGTGCCCAGGCCCTGAGTTCAAGCCCCAGGACAGAAAGGAAGAAAGGAAAAAAGGAAGAAGGAAGGAAGGAAGGAAGAGAGAGAGAGAAAGAGTAAGGGAGAAGGGGAGAAAGAGGAAGGAAGGAAGGAAGGAAGGAAGGAGGGAAGGAAGGAATTCTCCCAGAGTCTGGAAGAAATCTCTGCAGAGGTAAAGTAGGCATCAGGCAAGGGTGAAATAAATAAATACATAAATGCCTCCAACATGAATCTAGTTCCTCCGAGACTCCTTGGGCAGAGCTGGAAATTGTCCTCTTTACATATTTATTTTGTATGACTGTACATATTTACACGCGTACGCATATGGCGAGGGAGAGGAAACGCGATGACGTGCGCATCTCCTTAGAGAACAGGAGGTAATAAGGAAATGAAACAGGTGTCAGTAGGCTTCTCTCGAAGAAAGAGAGAATCGAGAACAGGCATAATCCACGGGCACAGGAGTTCTCGGCAGGTAGCCACGTGGAAGAGCGAAGGCGTGCAGCTGGCGAGGCACAGGCTGGCGCTTTCCTTCTGCTCTCCCGCGGCCTGGGTGCTCGTTTACTTGGAAGGGATCTTCGTTCCTCCTGGATGGCCGGGTCAGGTTGACTCTTCTAGATTCTAGTGACTATTTCTTCTTTCTGCTATTGCTTTCGTTGAGATTCAGGTGGAAAGGAGATCGATCTGTGGGCATTCTGTCTGGGTAAAGCGAGGGCATTCTCAGACATGAGACAAGGGAGACTTAGAAGGCGGAGGGGAAATCAGCTCTTCCCGCCCCCCTCCATCTCTCCTTCCCCCTGCTCTCCACCCCTGACCTCTCTTGGGGACCCCAGACAGCGCATCACTATTTGATCGGCCCTTCGCCAGCGCGCACTCGCCGGCAGGGCTTGGCCAAGACATCAGCCGCTGCGCTGCGCTGTGCTGAAGCTGGAGCCCAGCCCCGCACCGGCTTGGCGAGGGACCAGCTCCGGGATCGCCCCTTCCCCCCTGCCCGCTCCCCCCCCTCGGGGATGGCGCTGCGTCGGGGACCCATTGCGGCGCCCACCATGCCGGGCTGCCCGTGCGTCCCGCTGCTGTGCGCGCTGCTGTGCGCGCTGCCCTGGCTCCTGCGGGCTGCGGAGCCCCCCGCGCGGTCCCCAGCGCCGCGCCGCACTCCCCAAGACCCCGCCAGGGGCGCGGATTTCGATCGGGTCTACAGCGGGGTGGTGAATCTCAGCACCGAGAACATCTACTCCTTCAACTACACCAGCCAGCCTGGCCAGGTAAGAAGACGCTCCGGGGGACCCCCGCTCCACTCCTAGAACTTGACTGATAGCAGAGCGCCCTCGCTGCCCTGGGATTCCCTGAGCACCGACCTCTGGTGACCCCGGGGACTAGGAAACGCTCACTCCCTTTCTTGGGAGAAGCAATCACAGCCCCTGCCCCCAAGCTGCACCCCACCAGGATCCTGGACCCCTCCGCTCCACCTTGCGCCCCCTCCCCCGCCAACCCCCTCCTCTTCCTCGGCTTGGTGGCTGGCATTTCTGGGCTTTGCTAGCTTTCTCTGATCTTCTACGGTTCCTGGCTCCATTCAAGGCCTTTCTCTAGGAAAGTCAGGGTTTCTAGGTCTGTGGGAAGGCAGAGGAGGATTGTGCCCGCCGCCACCACCCCTCCCCTTGCAGGGAAGGAACTTCATTTGGTTTGGGTGATTCGAGACCCGTCTATCTCATAGCACTTGGGGAGGGAGAACGGCTGGGAATCTAATATGGAAATGATGTGAGAATGGACGGAAGCTGCAGAACCTCTGTGCATTCCACAGTCACTTCCTGCGTTTCTGTGCGCTTCTTACCCAATGCGCTTCAGTGGAACTGTAAGACCTGGGTCAAACACGTTCACGCTGCGGAGGTCAGCTGATGGGGGAAAGGCTCTGATGCTTAAATAAGGGTGACTGCATGCGTGAAAGTTCTAGACCTGTTTCTGACGAAAGTTGAGGTGAGACATGGGAAGATTGTTCCAGTAAGGATGCACATGTTCTGATTATGTAATGTAGAAAATGTAGCATGTACACTATATTTCTAAATAATCTCACATTATATATTATATATATATGATGTGTATATATGGTGCGTGTGTATATATATATTAAGAAAATGCTTTTTACCTTGAATACAGTATCCTCTAAGGTGGTGGGAAGAGAAAGAGGATAGGGAGAGACAGAGAGACAGAGGAAGAGAGAGAGTGTGTGTCTAACTCAGTGTCCCACCTCTGGACTTCTTCCCAGGAGAATTCTTTGTATACCTCACTGTACCAGCATTCCCTACTCATTGGGAATTACAGAGCCAGATGACTGGCTCATTCTCTGATTCTCCCTTACTGCACATCGACAAGGAATTTCTTGTATAGCGTAGGAAGGTCTAATGTGCCTGTTTGTCTCTACTCCCTGATATCTTTTGCTGTGTGTATCAAGGAAGTGTCCTAAATTCCCCCATCTCCAGTCTGGCACCAAAGCCTACTGCACTGTTGCCATGGCAGCATAGCACCCACCCCATCCTATCCTCTTGTAACCTTAGACCGTGTAGTAAGCACAGTGGTTGTGTGCAGAGCCAGGCCTTTGCAGACAAGTGGGAGGGGACTCCTTCCTACCCAGTGTGGAATGCCTATCACTGGCTGATATGCACTGGCAGATATATTACACTGGTATATTGCTACTCTCGTGATTTCTCAGTCAGGAACAGATTTTTAAAAAAAAAAAAATGTCTGAGCCAGGCACTAGTGGCTCACCCCTGTAATCCTAGCTACTTAAGAGGCTGAGATCGGATCGTGGTTCAAAGCCAGCCCAGGCCAGAAAGTCTGTGAGGCTCTTTTCTCCAATAAACCAGCATACAACCGGAAGTGGCACTGTGGCTCAAGTGGTAGAGTGCTGGCCTTGAGCTGAAGAGCTGAGGGACAGTACTCAGGCCCAGAGTTCAAGCCTCACGACCACCACCACCAACAACAAAAGTCTGAAAATCCAGTGATTCCCAGAGTACCATGTCAACTTCATCCTAAATTAGTGGTAAGGAAACTCAAATTACACACACATAGTGTAATGTGTGTGTGTGTGTGTGTGTGTGTGTGTGTGTGTATGTGTGTGTGAGTCCCGGGGCTTGAACTCAGGACCTAGACACTGTCCCTGAGCTTCTTTTGGTCAACGCTAGCACTCTATCTCTTGAGCACAGCTCCATTTTCAGATATTTTTTTAGTAGTTTAGTAGTCTCATGGACTTTCCTGTCCCAGCCAGCTTCAAACCATGATCATCAGATCTCAGCTTCCTGAGTAGCTAGGATTACAGGTGTGAGCCCTCTACTCCCCACCCCCCCCCCATGTATTTTTTTTCAGATCTACTTGGAGCTAGATTGTGTGTGTGTGTGTGTGTGTGTGTGTGTGTGGTGGTGGTGGTGGTGTTTTGACACAGGGTCTTAATATGAAACCCAGGCTGGCTGGAGTTGTGATACTCCTGCTTCAGCTTCCTGATATTATTACCACTATTCCTAGCAGGCTGATTGCTGCTGCTG